ATTATTATTATTATTATTATTATTATTATTATTATTATTATTACTACTACTACTACTACTACTACTACTACTACAACAACATTCTTACAACCCCAGCTTAAAATAAGCATAATTTATTTTAACATAATGGTTAAAAAAAATCCCCTCCCAATTTCAGTATGCCCACATTGGTTCAAGGCTTTTGCAGTAGCACCAGGCATCCCCCACAGGGTCTCATTCACTTTGATTGGGCTGAACTATGTTTGCTGGGGAGCAGCCGGCCTCCTCTTCCCTTGGGCTCATCCTTCAACCCAAAGCCAATTCCAGGGAGCAATCCAACTTTGGGAAACAGCCAAGGGTTTGTTTCACACACGCCCCCCACATGGCCCCTATCCTTCAGCCTGATACACATCCTGATGGCTCCTTGTCAAAAAACAAAAGCCACTTTCACAAATCGGTCCTCAGTTCTGCTCAGTTAGCCTAGCACTTTTATGTTGGGGCACAGATGGATCAACTGCAGCCAGGGGGCTGCTTGCCTTGCTCTTAGAAAAACCATTTTCTTTCCAGTCATTCCCACTGAAAGAAAGACAAGGCCAGGCAGAGCCTGGTCGACTTCCTAGAAAAACACTGGAGTCAAAGCACCCCCAATTGGCTGCAGACTCCAGGAAGAAGGAAGTGGCCCCAAATGCCACCTGAGCATCCCAAGCAGCAGAAATAAATCTGTAAAAGAGCAAAACACAAGTTCCACCTCCCCACCAGTGCAATCAGCCCTCAGGCCACCCTGAGATCTTCCTGCCGCTGAAGGTGGTCGGACGCTGGCTGAGAAAGCAGCACCTGGTACCTCTGCACAGGAAGCTTAAAAGGCCTGAGTTGCTTCTGCCCACCTAGGAGATCTTTTCGCCCTTTTAAGAAACACTGCCAGCATGGACCTTTTACAAGGCAGAGAGATTAAGATGATGGAGGAAACCCCCGGAGAAGGTCACTCAGCTCCATTACCAGGCAAAGGGCAGCCCCTGATGGAGTGGGGAGGGAGAGAGCTCCGCGGCTTCCTACTGCAGGCCAAGGACACCCAGGAGGGAGTCAGAGACAGGCAAAGCTCCATGCTGGCTGCCAGAAAGCAAGTGGGGCTATCCACACTCCCCCAGGATGCCCCCCAAGCGCATAATCATCAACAGAAGGTACCTGAGACAGAGACAGAGAGCAGGTCTCCCCCAGGACCCTTTCACAGACATCCCTGATGCTGCTTCCGATGCTTCAGGATTTCCATGGGTGTGAGACGGAGGTTCTCCTGGCAGATGGCACAGTGATACAGTTGCTGCAGGGCAGAGGTGCCAGAGGCAGCCACCACTGTCTCCCCTCTGGGCCCTGTAGGAGCAGAGAAGGCAGGATGAGTGACCCCAACACTCCAGCTCTTCCCTCTCCTTCCCAACTCCCAAGAGATCCCACTGAAAATACAACTACAAAAGGACTCGCCTTCTAGGCTGGACTCCTCATCCTTAGGGCCAGGGGACTGGCAGGCCTCTTCATGGGCCACACGCTCCAGAGGAGTGAAGGGCATATAGAGGCTGCACCGTGGACACGTCCAAAAGCTGCGCAGGCAGTCACTGTACAGGTCTCCCTCACCCTGTGGGGGCACAAGGAAGCAGTGGTCAGAGTGGCCTGTTGGCTGCTGCCCCCTCCCACAGCCAGGAATGAGAGTGACCCCCAACCCAGGAGTTCTTCCTTCTCCCCATCCCTTCCTGGACTCACTGCCAGACAATTAAACGTCAGGAAGTCGCCAATCTTGTAGCCACCTTTCACCTCGTTGGGCAGCAGTGGCACCCCCTGGAAGAAGCTGGGCAGCCCTTCTACCTCTGCAGGGGCCATCTGAGGCCCTCCATACAGGTTCTGCTGCTCCAGAAGGGTCATTCGCCGGAGGCTGTACTGGACCTACAGGGACACCAAAGATGTCTAGACCAGCAGCAGAGGGGCTGAGGCCCTGCTCCCTGACTGGCAGCGGCATCCGCAGCAAGGAGGCTTCTCCCCCGCCCCTCGCACCCACCAGCAGAGCTCTCCTCGCCAGACAACAGCCTAGCAGGTTCGGCCAGCCTCCACCTGTCTCCCAACGGGCAGAGCCACACACCTCCGTCTTCAGGAAGCTCAGCAGCTCGCGTGTAAGTTGGCGCACCTCCAGGGCGCTAGATGGTGTCTCTGCCTCTGCCTCTGCCTCTGCCTCTTCCTCTTCCACAGCTCGGCCTGCCCGTCGCCCCAGACACCTGTCCAGCACTTCATCCCAAGAGGCCCTGAGACGCAGGGCCATGCTGAGCATCCGCACAGCTGTCTCTGCCGCAGGGACTTGGAGCTCAAGCCAGGAGTCAGCAACAATGCGCGTGCAGTCAGCATTGGTGTCGAGAGACTGAGCCAAAAGCAATAGTGCCTGGGGAGAAGAGCAGGAGAAAAGCCCTGGGATTTCAAAAGGAGAGGAACAAAGGCTGGAGGCCAGGTGCGCGGCCTGCCTCGCTCCAGAGCCCGCTCACCTGCAGTGCCGGTAGGCGGAGGCAGTTCACGAGGTAGGGCTTTTGGGTCTCCAGCAGTGAGACGAAAGGCAGGATTTGGTGGTAGCTGCTGAGCCTCTCCTTGGCATCTGTGGACCAGAAGACCACTCCCTCAGGTTCCTCTGAAAGCCTCCTCTCGTCCTTCCCAACCTCAGAAGGGGCTCTGAGAAGTCTAGACATTCTGGGCCTTGGGCCAGACTAGCTCACCACCCTTGACCACCCTCCAGCCAAACTAGCCGTAACGGAAGAGGAAATTTTACCGGAACCGTTTGCTCCTGCTTGCAATTTCCTCTTCTCAGCTGCTTCAACGCGACCCTTTACCTGACCCAGGGCTCCCAACTGCCTTGCCTTGCCTTGCACGGAGGAGCACGCAGGCTCCACACAGGTGCAGACCCAGAAGAAAGGCAGCGCCTGAGCAGCAGCGCCCGGTCTTCTCACTGGCCACGTGCAGTGGCCAGACTTGGTAACTGCTGCCTGCCAAGAACCCCCCCCCATACACAGGATAGGCTCACGAAGCAGCACGAAGACACGGCTTACTTACAGTAACTGTGATTTGTTGAACAAGCCACAACAGAATGGACTCGCACAGTGTAACAAGCAAAAACCACCCACATTATGTTCCTGGACGATGTATGAACCCAGACATGTACGTATTCAACCCTCTGCCATCAAGCTATGTAATCCCAGTCCAGCTAGAATAAGAGTACTGACATGGGAAGCTGAAAGCCAAAAGCAGAATTTCAGAGAAGTCCTTTTCCTTTCCTACAATTCTAATACAATATAGCAATCCCCCCCCCACAGTAAAATTCTTTCAAAAGTAAACCATTACCACTGCTGCAAAGTCAGACTGAAGACGCAAAGCGAGGAGAGAGACTTTCACGTGATTTAGCACTTCAGGTTGCCAGTAACCCTTTGGATTTTCACTGATTCAGTTTACAAGACTACGGGTGTTGAGGGTCTTCAAACAGGCCACAGCCCAACAATTTCACCTCCTCCTTCCTTTCCATCTGCGTTTCATGCGAACGTATTTCTCTTCCATATCTTAGTTCCCTACGTGGGACTATATCCCATTCCAGTGCCATACAGATAAACTTGAGGTCACAGAATCAGACTTTTCATATCGCTGACAAATCTCTCTCTCATAGTCCCAGTGCATTTAAAAACTGCCCCTCTGAATATTTAGCACATTATCTCCCACGGTATTGATCTGGCAGGGTTGGCACGCTTCGGATTCCTTTGATTAAACAATGCCATCCATCAGGACCCCAGAAGTGCACCTTCTCTGCCACAGCACCTGCCCGCTGGAATGAGGTCCCCCTGAGAACTGGAAGCCCTCTACCCAGCTGGTGTTCCCCCAGTCTTTGGTGAAGGTGAGCGAAACCCCCTTGGATCGTGTGGATTTCTTACATTTTTTCATTCCTGTCCAGGTTTTGTCATTTTAAAAAACAAAATAAAAAAACTTTACCATTTTTTATTCTTTATTTTTGTTTCCTTTTTAAAATGTGTCTATTTGTGAGCCATGCAGAGTCATTGGGAAGCATACTAATTAAGTAAATAAATAACTAAATAATATTGCCTTTTTGCATGGCTTTCTGCTACCTCTGCAAAATACTTAGATGGTTCTGGAATGAGGCCATGAGATTCTTTAAGTGGATATAGAACTCTGATCCCTGCTTTGCTGGAGTTCTTCTCTTCCAACCTGGGGAACTTCCACTGGGGAGTCATTTTCACCATTTGCTGTTTGTGTTTGTGCTTTCTGTCTTTTCTCTGCAAAAAGTATGTTGCTTACAGCACAAGATCATAATCTAGTTATAGATACTGGTCAGTGAGTACTCTCAATTTTAAAAAAAGGAAGTTTCTACTTCATCTGGGGTCAAATGCATGTAACACATACACCAGTTCTCAGAACACTGGTCTGTGGTCAAAGACTACCTGGAATGATTACATAATAAATCTCCTACAATATAAATAACCCAGCCATGCAATTGTATGCCAGTCCCAAACCCGGATAAATGGGGAGGGTGGAAGAAAGACCTAGCAACCTACATGTAAAAACCTCACCAAGAAAATTTTATGGACAGGCTCTCAAATGATTCAGTTATGGTGCCCCATGGTAGGACCCCCAGGCCAGAAGGTATCTAACAAGCTGCTGGGGAAGAGCGAGGACGTGCAGTGAACAGTCAAGGCATCAATGGCGCACTTGATGGCGAACCCAGCAGGAACCAGGGTCCGCGCTGCACGAAGACACACCGGATAGCAATGTGGAATGCCCAAGGAATGAGCCGGCGTACATCGGGTATCATCAAATGCGAGATGGCCAGGTTGAAAATCAACCTCCTTGCCGTCAGTGAGCTACGCGGGATAGACAATGGCTATTTCCAGTCTGAGGAATTCATTGTTATTACTCAGGACATGACACCAGGAAAATGAATGGAGTGGCATTTCTCACAAGCACGAAAGTTTATGCCCAAGCAGTGGAAATCTTCTGGATGGTAAACAATCGCATTATGACCATCCGAATCTGTGCCAAGCCCCTTAAAATCACAGTTGTCCAAGTCTATGCCCCAATGACTGATACAACAAAGCTTGAAATAGAGGGTTTCTATGCCAGCATCGAAAAAACTTTGAAGCAAGTGTCCCAAAAAGACATTGTTTACATACTGGGTGATTTTAATGCAAAAGTTGACAGCCAAGCAGAATCAGGCATCACTGGCAGCTTTGGGCTTTGGGAGAGGAATGATGCAGGCAATCGGGTACAATTTTGCCATGAAAATCAATTTGAATCATGAGCACAAGTGTCGCTTATACACTTGGACCTCACCAAATAAGCTACACCATAGTCAGATTGACTCTGTCCTATGCAGCCATTGATGGACCACTTCAGTCCTCGATGTCAAGACGCATCCGGGTGCCGACTGCAGTTCAGATCATGAATTGTTGGTGGCCACGATCAGAGCCAAATTACACAGCATCAAAAAGGCAGCACCACCCAAAAAGTCTGACATCACCAAAACCCCTTCCACATATGCCACTGAGGTAAAAAATAGGTTTGAACTGCTGGGCACTGCTGAGAAGATGCCCAACAAACTGTGGCAGGAAATTAAATCGACCGTCATTGGAACAGCGGTTGAACACATACCGTAGAAGGAGCCAGGGAAAAAGCGCAGGCGTTTCTCAGATGAAACCATCGGACTAGCCAAGCAAAGAAAAGCAGCCAGAGCAGCAGGCAAGCGGGAGGAAGCAAGGAGACTGAATGCGGATTTCCGAAGAGCAGCAAGGAAAGACAGCGAAGTTTGCTGGGACCAGCGTTGCAAGAGGTAGGACTGCACGAAGGCCCACATCAGGAATCCATCTGCGCAAGTCAAAAGGATTCAAACACCATTTACCGCTCATAAAAGCATCATCAAAATCAAGCAAGGGAAAGACCGGGCCGACTAACAAGGTGTCAAGAACAGATGGCGAGAATATACAGAAGAGCTATATGCCAGCAGCAAA